TACGAGAAATAGGGAGACTCGCAACCCTCTCAGCCATATTTGGAACCTGGGACTCCGAAGTAAACAGGGCTTGATAAAAGTTAGTAGCTATCTCAGCCTTCCCACTTTCCTCAGTAACACACTCGCCCTCATCATTCCGGAGCCCAGAAACGAAATTCCTCTTCCGCCGAGTGCGAGCAACCGTATGAAAATAAGCAGAATTCTGGTCCCCTTTTTTAACCATCGGACTCTGGACTTTTGCTGCCAGTAAAGCTCCTCTGCATCCCACTGACGAGTCAGCTCAGTCTCCAGTGACCTGATCTCATCCCAATTGACCGGATGAACTGACTTGACCCGGTCAATCTCAGCCTGGAGAGTCTTTATATTCCGCAGAGAATTTGTAGTGTCTGCTCTACTCCAATCATATAGCAAGTGTCGGAGTTTCTTGAGGCGCTCCCAAAGTCGAAACATAGGGGTACCTTGTACATCCTCTTGCCAGACATAATGGACCATAGCCCTAACCTCAGGGTTATCCGCCCAACGAGCATCAAACCGAAAGAGAGGTCGACTAGTCCGGGTATATGGCTTGTCGGCAAGGAGGAGGGCACGATGATCCGACCCCTGATCCGTGAAATGTTTGACCAAGGTCTCAGGATAAGCATCTATCCAGGATTGAGAACAGAGAGCCCTGTCCAGCCGTTCACGAATGCACGCCGCCCCCATACGTTTATTGGTCCAAGTAAATTGGTCCCCCTGGTAACCAGGGTCATGGAGCCCCAAATCATAAACAAAATCCCGAAGGCTAATGGCCTGAGTCGCATTCCAAGCACGACCCCCATCCTTCTCTTCCTACATGTGGTTAGGGTAATTAAGAAGAGATTAATTGAGAGGCTTCCAAATAACTTCCCAATTAGGATACTGCCACAAAGGAAACGGCTATTTGTCTCTCTTCTTCTACTCTTTCCTTTCACCATATATATTATATGCATTATGGGAAAATTGCGTTGAAATCTTCAGATGTTTGTTTGCGTATTATTGGCTGCAGCCAGCAGTTCGTAGTTGGTTGAAATTTCATTCATTCATTCTTCTTCTTGATTCCTTTTTCTGTTCATATATACCATTTTACATTCATTACTTTGGAATCTTTGGTAACGGCCGTTTGCTTTTGTGAACGAAAGTGATATATATTCTCATTGGTTTCACAAGTTGCCTCTCTATCCATGACTCTATCCATAAATCATAGATCCTATCATTAGTCTGTACACTCATGTGGTGTTGTTTGCATTAGTTGGTCTAAATTGCCCTCGGGCTATGTCGGTCCGGCTGCTGCAGCTGGGTTGCGGCCGTTACCTGTGAAAGCAGTTTTCTAACTGAAAAAATCAGACATGTTGCCTAAAATTTGTAGTGAATTCAACACAGATTTTAGAAATCACGTGTCTAATGGTGGCGGATCAAGAAATTTTATATAGGGGTGTCCCTAATAAATGTTAAAATAAAACTTAAAAAAATATCTTAAATAAGAAAATATCTGACTAGTACAAGTTATAATAAAAGTCTACGTTTTTTTTTTTGTAAAATACACTCAATGTTTGCCCAGCTCAACAAATCTCTTTAAATATATCCTCCTAGACTATCATTCACGAACTACTTGCTTGTTCGATTCCGAAACTTGTTCTTGATGTAACATAATAATCGATAGTTTGGAAAAAAAAATCTTTCTTTTCACTCTAGACTATGTAAATGTACAATAGTAGCTATAGGTAATGTAAGAGCATCATCTAAAAATTGATTTCCTTCTACGAATTTTTATTTTATTTTATTTCCTATCTACTGTGCAAATCAATTTGCTCGGGGACTAGATCCCGATCCAATCATATCTGATGGGTCCAGTCCACTCCAGGTTCAGGAGAGTCTTGTCGGATATGGGCTGGTTCGAGCAAGTTTGGTAGCCATGCCTATTGGGCTCTAGCCCACAACTTATTGGGTTAGATCCAACGCGCAAATGTTGGGGCCATTCATATTTCAGCTCACACATTCGCCAAATTCTGTCAAAATGGCTTTCCTTTTGACCCATTGGCGATTGCATCTCCATTTAAACGGGGTTCGTGACACCGTCAGTTGCGGAGCAAGAAATTCAAACGAGCGGAGATAAAAATTTACGTATAGAGAATTCGAACTGGTGGTGTGGTGGGTAAAAAATTAACATATAATCTTACATGAGAGAATTGAGCGGGGCTATAGCCTCTCCCTACTATTAACTTAGCTCCGCCACTGGATAGGGCTGCAAACGAGCCGAGTCGAGTCGAGTTTTTGCTTAGCTTGAGCTCGGCTCGTTTATAAATTTTTCAGCTCGAGCTCAGCTCGAACTCGAATTTTGATCATCCAGCTCGAGCTCGAGCTCGACTCGATTAAAAATAATCCAGCTCGAGCTCGACTCGATAGAGCTCGATAAATGCTTATTAACACAACATGTCAAGCTGAGTACAAGCTTGCCGAACCATAAACTTATAGATAATTTTTAACTGTTAAAATGATTAAACTTCACCAAACCGTGATTTCAGCACAAAATACATACTCTGTTGTCGATTTTTTTTCATGTACAAACTCCGATACAATTTTCCAAATTCTTTGCCTTCAATGCTTCTGTCGTGTTAGAGCTTACGACTACAAAACCAATCAGACGAGACTGAGACTTAAAAGAACAGTACGGTTGCTCAGTAGAACGCCATGAACGAGTCATCCCCTCTGCACATTAATTGATCACAGTCCCAACCGCCCGCCTTCGATGGTTATCATCTGCAGATTATATATAGACTCTGTTTCCTCAACGTATCTAATAAACACAGAGAAAACCAGAGCTTCATCAATGGATTCCGCCCAACAATCCGTTTCCCAGCAGAGGTAAACCCACTGATTGAGCGAAACCCAAGTGTTCATATCCCTTTTGATTTTAATTTCTGCCCAATTGTTCCCACAGCACTGATCAATTCAAATCAGGTTGGCAGGGAAGGTCGCGTTGATCACCGGCGGAGCAAGCGGCATCGGGGCCAGCACCGCCGCGCTGTTCGCCCGAAACGGCGCGAAGGTCGTAATCGCCGACGTCCAGTCCGATCTGGGACACTCCGTCGCCGGAGAAATCAGCTCGTCGTACTCTGCCTCGCCGCACCACCCCGCCGCCGTCACCTTCGTCTGCTGCGACGTCACCAAGGAAAGCCAGGTCGCGAGCGCGGTGGACGGCGTCGTTTCGGCCCACGGGAAGCTGGACATCGTCCTCATCAACGCCGGCGTACCGGGCGACCCGGCCGGGAACCGGATCGCCGCCGCGGACGAGGACGATCTGCGGCGGGTGTTCGACGTCAACGTGTTCGGCGGGTTCTTGTGCGCCAAGCACGCAGCCAGGTAGTGGCGGAGCCAGAAATCTGAATTTATTACGAATTTCACATGTGATTTTACCTACATTTCAAATTTGAGGGTCCTCCTGACTTCAACCTGATTCATTAATTCAACGCACCAGGGTGATGATTCCGGCGAAGAAAGGAGGGGTGATTCTGTTCACGGCCAGCGTGCTGACGGAGACTTACGGCTTCTTCGCCCACGCCTACACGTCGTCCAAGCACGCGGTGGTCGGGTTGATGAAGAACCTGAGCGTGGAGCTGGGAGAGTATGGGATCCGGGTGAGCTCGATTTCGCCGACGGGGGTGCCGACGCCGATGGGGATGAAGAGCTTGGGACTGGATCGAGAGGGCGTTCAGGATCTCTGTTCGGAGAAGGCGGCCCTGAAAGGCGTGGCTCTGGATGAGAACGATGTTGCGGAGGCTGCTCTGTTTCTTGCCGGCGATGAGTCCAAGTTCGTGAGCGGGGTGAACCTCGTGGTGGATGGTGGCTTCAACTTGAGAAGCGCCTAGCTGAGCCTTGTAGCTTCATCTTCTAATAATAATGAGGGTTGTTCTTCACCATCTTTTATACAAGATTGTAGAATCGAAAAAGTTAGCAATAGGGCATTGTGTGATGAAATCGTGGTTAAACTCTTTAATATTGCTGAAAAGCTACCTAAAGATTTAGTCTTTCATAGGAGATTTTCTCGGCCGGACCGCTGATACGATAGGGTTTCACACACTGCATTTGTAACTACAAACGTCAAAACTAGTATCATGGATGTTAGTGGCTGGAGACCAAGGGACCAGTCACTTCACTAGCAAGGTTGTCAAGTCGGTTTATGGCGAATGAAGTTACGTTGGTGAATGTGCTGACTGCCTGCGCTAGAACGAGGGGACTTGTCTATGGCGAAAAGGGTTCATGAGTACATCGATGAGAATGGTTTCGGGTCTCATTTGATCCTCACCACAGCTCTCATGGATGTCTACTGCAAATGTGGCTGTATCTCTGTTGCAAAAGAGATGTTTGAGAAAAATGCCTGAGAAGAACCTGTTTTGCTGGAATGTTATGATCAATGGCCTTGTCGGGGAATGTAAATATGATGAGGCTGTTGCACTGTTCCGTGAGATGCAGCAGAAGAAGATTGAAGGGGATAAGGTGACCATGGCATGCTTGCTCCTCGCTTGTACGCATTTGGGCGCCCTGGAGCTGGGAAGGTGGTTACATGGCTACATCAAGATGCATAAGATTGAGATGGATGTTGCTTTAGGAACAGCACTGGTGGACATGTATGCAAGATGCGGAAGCATAGAGAGTGCCCAGCAAGTTTTTGAGGAGCTGCCGGAGAAAGATGTTATGACCTGGACTGCTCTGGTTGTAGGACTAGCTATGTCTGGCCAAGGAGAAGAGGGTTTGAAGTTCTTTGATCGGATGCCGGAGGAAGGACTAAAACCAGACGCCATAACATTTATTGGCGTCTTGGCTGCTTGTAGCCATGCTGGATTGACAGACAAAGGAGTTGCATACTTCAACTCAATGGCTGAGAGAAGTATGGAATTCATCCCACCATTGAACATTATGGAGGTTTGGTGGATGTACTCGGCCGAGCTGGCAGAATAGCTGAAGCAGAGGAACTGGTACAGAGCATGCCAATGGCACCTGATCATTTCGTGCTGGGGGGTCTGCTTGATGCCTGCAGAATCCATGGGAACCTGGAGGCCGCAGAAAGAGCAGGAAAGCAACTTCTGGAGCTTGATCCGGATAATGAAGGGATCTATATACTTTTGTCGAACATATACAAGTCGATGAAGAAGTGGGATGATGCTAAGAGGATCAGGAAACTGATGGTGAAAAGAGGGATGAAGAAGGCCTCATGATCCAGCCTGATTGAGGTTGATGGTGCTGTGTATGAGTTTGTGAAGTGCAATTCGTCACCAAATGTCTGAGCAGATCTATGAGATGGTGGAGGACTAAAAAGTGGAACTGAAGAAGGCAGGCTATGTTGCTCAAACATCAGAAGTGCTGTTTGAGATGAAGAGGAAAAGGAGACTGAACTTAAGTCTCCATAGTGAGAAGCTTGTCATTGCCTTTGGACTCATAAGTGTAGGCCCTGGAGTTCCTATAAGGATCATGAAGAACCTCAGAGTCTGTGGTGACTGCCACACACGAGCAAGTTTATCCCCAGGATTTACAATTAGGAAATTGTTGTTAGGGATAGGACCCGGTTTCACCGGTTCAAGGATGGACTCTGTTCCTGTAGAGATTTCAGCTGATGTAACAGTCTGTATACTGAAGATAATTTCTGGGAATTTCCAGACATATACTGAACATCATTCATTCTATTCCGTTTCATGTCAACTAATCTCTGCAAGCTGAAAGAAAACCAGCCAATCCTGCAATTCTGGCACATAAATTGATGCAGGCTCAGATCAGAGGCCAATCTAAGCAAATGACCATTCAGAAAGCAAAGCAATCTCCCATTCCTCTGAATGTTGAGCTCAATCCTAGCATATGATCAAAACAACTTTTTGGGCAGTAAGGGAACGACAGAATGAAACTTAGTAAACTGTTCATGCAACCACGAAATGGTACAATGTGTCAATCTCTCGACCTCTCAATGCTGCTCATAGAAAAGTTCTTAGCATAGCATAAATAGAAAATATATTCCAACGTCTTAGAAATATACTGCAAACATGACTTAATATGAAAAGAGCAAGAATAAAGTATAAGCTCTAGCAATGGATAATCACGTATTCATAAACATTTGGAAGCATTTTAACATTTTGTATTGAGCTATATGATAGTAACCCCTTTGAAGGTGCCCTGAATCCAACTTATCAACTTTGTCTGTAGGACTGCTCCAACAACCAGTTTAAGAAGCATGAACACAATTTACTGAGAAAAAGGTACCCTCCCAGACTATGATATAGTATCAAGTGAAACCTAATGAATCGACACCGGTAAATAATCACCATTAAGACACAAAAACTAATTCCAGCCGAGTCCTGTGATCTGATAAGATTCTTCAAACAATCATAGTTCTAAACAAGCTTAAGGAACACAAAAACTACCAGTCCTCTCATCCAAGTTTTACCAGACAAAGCCTTCCTTCCTACTTATCCTCGTCGCCCTCTTTCTTCTCGATAAGAATCGCATTCTCTGCATCCGGTTCGCCATTGTCTCTCGGTTTAGCAACAGGCTCAACACGTGCACCAGTAACGGACTGCTGGTAAAGAACACCTCCACACAGCGTGAAGAGGAGGCAAAGCAATCCGAATGGAGTGGCGTGCTTATCCCATATCATCACATTGATCACAACAGTCAGAAACTTGTTAACCACACCAGTCACAGTGAATGCAGTAGCAGAAATCGCCTTCCTGGCCGCGAACCCAAAGAAACTGATGAGCACACCAAACACACAAGACAATGCCACCGCAGAGAAAGCATCAATCCTGAACCAATCCCCACCACTCGAACCGACAGCAGCAAACACTTCACGATACTCCCTGGTGAGAACCCAAAACACAGGAGATATAAGCAAAGACAGCAGATTGTTGTACAACACCAGACCCCAAGTGTTCAGTCCAATGCTCGACACAATGTGCTTGATGTAAACCATTTCAGACACGATTGTCACCAAATAAGCAAGTGCCCATGAATATGCAGTGAGGGTAAAAGCTGAATCAGTAGCCACATAACCCACAGCACCTCCCAAAATGATGAACAGGGACATGAAAGTGAGCTTAGATGGGATCGGCTGTTTCCTGAACAAAGTGTCGGCTATAGCAACAAGAAGCGGGGTCAAAGATCTGAACACAATGAAGGTGTCCACATTGGCATGGCGCAGCAGATTGGTGTTGGTGAAGATTGCAAGGTAGAAAACAAAGGCAGCGGGGAGAAACTTCTTTGCGGTCTCCAACTTGAAAGCATCGTGATACAAGAAGCCTAATTTCCCCAAAACCCAGACCCCGAGCGCCGAGGTCAAGTACTGCAAAGCCGTGAGAAGCCCCGGGTAGTTGAATTTGGTAATGGCGAACTTGTTGATCACGGCGAGCAAGCTGGAGCAGAGAGCGTAGCCCACCACCACGCTGCTCGTCGCGAGCTGCTTCGTCGACTCGGGTCGAATCGCAGACATCTTTTTTCACTGGTGGGGATTCTCACTTACCCTTTTCTCTGTTCCCGGGAAAACAAGCAAAACCCTTGAACCAGAGTCGAGAGGTATAAAAGGAAGAACCAGTTAGTAGACTAATTACCCAGAAAGTGATGGATTTGGACCAGAACCCAGATTCAGAAATGCCCCCAATCGAACTCCAGAAACGGGATTGACAGAGAAATGTCCAGCGGGCAAGTGAACCGGGCGGGATCCGAGAGGGAGATCCCGAATCGAGGGAAAAACAGGGGAAGACGAGTCGAATCAGTAACCCGCAATAAATGGATGGAGAAAATGAAGGATTGATTTTGAGAAATTGATTTGATTGGCTGACAGAGGCTGAGGTTACTGAGTAGAAGAACTGAGAGTAAATGCGGACAAGGGAAATTTTGGGAGGAGACGCAAGAACGAGACAGCCAGAGCCTCACCCGTCAGAAAACAGGGGTCGGTGTTTCCATTTTATAAGCCATTAGAAAACTAGAAGCGGAGAAGTTTCGAAGAAGTGGCTATGGCGGAAGAGAGGGGGCGTCATAAATGATGGCATTGGATATTTTCATGGGGGAAAACGAAGTTTTTGACGGGACGCGCACGTAGTAGTGGTGGCGGAAACGTAAAAAAGTTTGCTGGTTGCAGACTTTGCAGCAGATCTGGGTCAATGGTTTTTTTTCCCTATTAAAACACTGTTGTCCCTCTGTTCTAAGTCATGGCTAAAAAAATGATCAAATGAAAGAGATTGAAAACAGAGTTCCTCAAACAGAAATGATTTATGGCTTTCTTCATGAGGCAGGTGATCAGTGATTACTGTTACTGTAGGAAGAATTATCATAATTGGCATTTCCGTGTGTCGTAAAAAGATATCTTCTGTTTGTACTAATTCGAGACTATTGAAGGGTTATCGTAAAAAGAATTACACATTCTTTCTTCAAAATCCGATTCAATTTCTGTATAGACACGAGGTTGTAATTTGATTATTTGGGTCATGATACTCGACTTACAAATTATATGCATGCACAGGGTCAAAATGTGTTGGCCAACCCATGATATAGGGACCTCGAATTTTACGGTGATGCATATAATAAGTGGTCATTATTATCGTAGGAAGAATTATCGTAATTTATTACATTAAGTCACATTATTTTGTTTGTTGGTAAACATGTTAGATGATGCGCACTTGATCGTCATTGTTGGTAAACATGTTAGATGATGCGCACTTGATTGTAGTTTCAAATCTTATTTATTACATTATTTTGTTTTGAAAAATGTTTTTTCATTGCCATTTGATTAAATTAACTTGATAAACTATTAGTTTAGTCCCTTCATTTTAAAATGTTGATATTTTTTCATTCTTAAACATTAAGTGTGTTCATTTAACTCACATTACATGAATAGTGAATCCACAGTTATTTAACTTGGACTAAAATGTCAGTATAGTCCACCCCTTTAATATTTTGATTGTTATGGTTTTTAAACTTCAAATATGTCCATTTAACTCTCACACACGAAATTCTGTATTTTATAAGGATACTTTTGAAATAGATACTTGTATTTTTAACCCTCGAAGATCCAATGAGTCACCTTAACTCATACAATAGAAACAATTATTTTTCTATAAGAGAATTCTGGATTGAGCAAGGGATAGTTACAAAAAATTTCATTTTATTGAACAATAGATCAATACATCCTGGAATTTAATCATGCCAGAAAAATCAAAGAAACGACACGTAGTCGGATACAATGGAAGTCGGAAGGGCCTTTTTAGCTGCACCAAATGAGCTAATTACTACTCCGACCTAAAAATCGCACATTAAGCCTAGAGTTTGGAGAAAAAACAAGAGTTTGGAGAAAGAAAGCAAAGAGAGATCGATTAGGGTTTTATACTTTGCTTGTTGATCTCTCCTTTACAAATTTTCAAATGTACCAAAATCGATAGTTCTTTAAACTACCCCAATTCGACGTACCTATAGTTATCCAAACTATCAATAATTCTCAGAAAACCCTCACGAAATCCAACAATCCCACAAAATGCTCCAAAATAAATAATTAGATGGTATAAAATCATATCACGATAGGTAATTCCAGAGGTCGGGTTTCTATCATGTAACGATACATTACATAATCTAGCCGAACAAAACTTAATCTAGTGATACAAAATAAGGAGAGAAACATTAATTGTTACATCATGATGATTTCCATGACCTCACCCTCATCATTGATCTCCCAAATACATTAATCCAAAACATGATTTATTAAGCACACATTGTGGTGTATTAAGCAGCGGGGGCGATCTTATCACCATCATCCATATCGTCAACATCGTCATCGTCATCGTCTCCTTCCGCCGCAGCCTTCTCTGCATGTTGACAGCCATAAGAACCATGGTTGTGGTTATCTCCACTGATATTCTCATGCACCAGAAGCAGCAGGAGTAGCATGGCAATGTTCATGGAGCTGGACAAGGAAGACATGCTTGGAAGAAGGTGGAGGAGAAGGAGAAGAAGAGATGAGCAAATTCTGTGATATGGGTTTACTTCTTCTGCTTGTGGGTGGCAAAATATATATAGAGAAAAGGGGGAAAGGAGAGGGCTCTCTAGCTCTTTGGGGACTTTGGTCGAACACGTGAGGGGCAGGGTTAAACCTGTTGCTGGAGGGAGCTGGATGGGTGTTGGATCCGTGGTTCTAGGGCCAACTCAGCTACCATATTGGTACTTCACTATGACACGTCGGACG